TACAATTGCAAAATTAACTGTCAAAGTGTGCGACCCATCGTCAATGCACTCGCAGTCAGTCCCCGTCCCCGTCCCCCCGTCGCATGCCATATGTTTCCACCCCACCCATTCGGCAGAGTGGGGTGCGTGTGGAAGGTATTCAAATTGAACCCTTAGCACTAAGGATTAGCATGGCCATGGTTAAAGCTTCTCCCATCGAGCATGGAATAGCTCCAACTTAATGGTACGAATTATTGTTGAGGCAAAATCAATCGCATCTGGGCTGAGCATCAGATTTGATGGCTCACCGCAAGAAAATACTTTAAATTCCTAATTTTCCACTGCTAAATTCCATTTCCATCCCAGAACCACTTTTCTTTGAGCCATGATCAATGTTTTCCTGATGCAAAGTTTTGAGTATTATCGGGTTAGTGCTCGTACAACTAAAAGGGCCCAATGCCCTCAATCAGTGACCGAAACTCGCCCCTATTCGCTGGCACGGCCACACGGCTCCCACCCTCCGCACAGCCCCAGTCCCAGCCCCAGCCACAGTGCCCACCCTCTCGACTGTTTGCGCTAAACGAGCTTTGCATATTTACTGTACTGCCAGCAGACATTTTACGATATATTGAGAATTATTTGCAATATATTTTGCAACGGGCAACAGCAGCAGCAACAAGGACGACAAATGTTCCACCGACAGCAACACCAACAGCAACACCAACAGCAACAGCAGCAGCAGCAACAACAAGTGCACTGTTCGGTGGAAATGTGGAAATGCAGGCAGGGAAAGCTTCTAATTCCGGCACTGAAACCATAAGTCTTTGTCGCATTGTACACACACCAACACACAGTGCCACACACACACACACACATACAAACTGTGGCAGACACTGTGTGCTGAACTCTACTCTTCTTGTCCTGGGTAAGGGTGAGGCATTTCAGCAACTACTCCGTGGCTAGGCTAGGAGAGGGAGGGACCTGAGAGACCTAGGCCTGGGACTGAATCGGAATAGAAGTCTGAAGTTGGACCAATAATTTAGGTTTCGATACACAAGTTTCGCATATAAATTCGAAACTTATTTTTCTGTTTTCCAAGATTTTGTTTAATTTACGTAAATTTGCATAAGATACAATTGCACACCCTTACCCTTACCCTTACCCTTACCCTCACCCAGCCAGCTCTGTCCCCTCTCCAGTGCCACAGTCTTGAAGTCTGTAAATTTGGGCGAGAATTGAGCCAAAGTTCAGAGGCAACAACAGCAGCAGCAGCAGCAGCAGTAGAGTAAGAGGCAGCCCGAAAGAGGAGCACACAATTTTTTTGTGCAGATTTTATTGCCAGGGCCTGGTCCCGGACTAAATTTGAATTCAGCTCAAATTGAAAGTTTCCAAACGCGCACACACAGATACTCTCCCAATACACACACAGGCTGGCACGCACACACGCAGAGGGACACGGACACAGACACAGACACGGACACCCATATTTATGCGTTTTCGAATGCAGCTCAACTCAGCTTTAATTTAAATGGATTTCTCCGCCGGCATTCCCTGTTTCTGTCCCTGTCCCTGTCCCTGTCCGGCCCAGGCAGACATATGGCAGCATTTGCCATTCCAGCTTGGGGTTGGCCGGGGCTGGCGGGGGTTGACCGGAATGGATGGGAGGTCGGACTCCATGCATGGCGACTCCACTGACTGCTGAGGATTGATTGTGCTTGTTGATATTTTGTCAAATAACGCAAATAAATACACAATTACACACTCAAGTGAGTCCAGGGGAGGCAACCCTCGCCCAGGGGGTGGCTGGGGGAGTCATGGGGTTAAACCGAGCATGGACGTGCTCTCTGTGTGTTATCCTCGTTTAAAGGATTTTCATTTGTTTAAATGTGCTTTATCGAAAATGGCCAAAAGGCCGCTGGTCATTGCTGTTCCCGTTGGATGTTGCTGTTGTTGTTGTTGTTGTTGTTGTTGTTGTTGCTGCCAGATCCTGCCCCTTGTACTCACGTGAAATATATCCTCAATGCACAGTGGATGGAAAGCGGTAAAGATGCGATGCGATGACATCGTTTACGAAAATTCCTATACAACAATTAAGGGGCGTTCCGTTAAGCTAAGCTAATGCAAGTTTCCTAGCTACAAAAAAAAATTTAAAAATCTTCAAGATCTTTAAAAAATTCTGCGAAGGTTGAATTTTTTCTTATCTGAATAAAGAAATAATTAATAATAATAATAATTAGTAATAATTAATAAATAATTAATAAATCGATTCGAATATTGAAAATCTTTCTTTTGATGGATTTCAGTATGTGGCTTCTATGCTCTTGAGCCACTGGGGCGGGGCATCTTCTTATCAGTTCAACGGAACAAAAGCAGTCAATGGGGTTAGACATTCACCCACTGTGCAACTACATATCTGCCAGAAGCTTTGCAAATCGGCCCACTGTCTCCCGACTTTTGACTTTGTCATTGTTTGTTTCTGCCTTTGCCTTGGGTGTTGCTGTTGTTGGGTTTGGTTTTTTTCGCCGCACGCCCGTAAATTCCAATGTAAAATGTTGCATTTATCTTGTAAAAATAATAAATCCGGGCAAGGGACTTTACTCTCTCACGCTTGGCAGCACAGAGAGTAACAGATTGGGATGGGCTCGGGATGCCTCCGTTGAGGGGTGCAGGCGAAAGGGTTCTGGATGGGATTGGATCGGGGATCTGTATTGGAGTTGGAGTCAGGGTTTTGGGTTGTTTTCGGCCATTGTTAATGGCCAAATGGGTAAAGAGACGTAAATTTGGCTAATTTTATTAACCGTCAATCGGGCAAGAACAATTCTGGGCTTTGGGCAGCGATGGGGGGGGATGTGGCAGCAGATGAGGGCGCGGAAGTAGTTGTAGCTACAAAAAATTAGACAACACGCAGCCATTAATTTTATTTATTTATTGTCTGCCGCTTTCATTGGTGCGCATTTATTCCAATTCGAAAATCCCGAACTGTTGTGCGATAAATTGAGTCAAATGCGAAAATTGTGTTGCTGCATTTCCACTGCATTCCGCTCACTCACACAGATACAGATACAGACACGGACACAGACAGAGGATTTTCATTATAAAATATTGTTCTGGGAAGGCATGCGGTGGGGGTGTTAGTGGGGGGGGATGGGTCGAGAGCCAGGCGACAGTCGCAAAAGAGTTTGCAATTTATTTAAAAATAAAAGTACGAGTATCTAAGAGCATGACAAATACGAGTAGTGTGAGAAATGTTTTTGCGCACTGCAGTAGTAACCGCCACCCGCCCTGCCCAGCGCCTCTCAAACACGACATATGATGGGGCGCCTCTGATTTATTTGCATACAAAAGCGCAGCAGACACCCAGTAAAAAAAGCATTCCCCCCTCTGTTCCTGGCCTTGCGACAGAGCCAGAGCCAGATCCAGCGAGCGCTCCGCCCATTTTTGACGCCGACTTCTACGCGTCGATTGCCAACTGGGGACAGTGATGAGGGTAGGGCGTTAGTGGGGGATGCTGGCGGAGTTCATCCAAAATCAAAATCCAAAAATCAAAGTACGAGAGAATGTAAAGTAACCAGCATGGGAGATATCAAAAAATAAATATATAAACATACATAAATAGGAAAAGATACGGTACACATATGTAAATCTGAATCGAATAAGTTGTTCCAAAGCCAGGTAAAAATGTAACTAAAAACAAATTACGAAACGTTTCGGCAAAGACAAATTATAAATTGATTACCTTCAATAGATCTAATACAATGAAAACACATTGAAATCCGTACATGCAAATAATAAAGTTTCAAATCCATATCAAATCACATCCGAATCAGATTTGTTTAAATTGTTTTATCTAGCATCGAGCTGATGTCAGATTCAACAAAATATCTCTTCATTTCATCCCATTCAAAGTCGTCCTCCTGTTCGCTCAATTCATCATTTGGCAACATTTTGCCGAGCGTCAAGTTGCATTTAGTTGTTATTTATGCAAATTTTACATGCTTCAACTTTCTCGCCAAGTGCGTCGTGTCGTTTTCGATTATTTAAAACTTTGTACGGAATTTACTAGATTGCCGTGCCAGCAGGGGAATAGGGAGGGAATGGGACTGGGAATGGGAATAGGAGGGATCTCTTTTTTAATGCGCACACCTGACGCGCTTCAACGTCTTCCTCAGGCAGTTCCTTGGGACAGGAACAGGGATAGGGAGAGGGACGTGGACCAGGACTGGGAGCAGGATTAGGGTACTGTACTTGTCCAAGGCGTGCTCTCCGTGCATAATTTTGTGCGCTGCTGTTGAGCCAAATAAATTCCGGAGACGGCTAAAGTTATTAGATTAGCATTAGAGCGAAGGCGGGAACGGAGGGGGCGCGCCATTCCGGTGCTGAGCTTAGAATTATGATTTACCTGGGGTTATTTACATGCATATAAAGGAAGACCCAGAACAGCCTCAAATTGTGCAAATTTATGAAAAAGTTAACTCACTTTGAGGCGAGTCATGTGGCTTTTACGAGCATAGTTCCTCAAGGAAAAACAGCACAGCAGCTTCAGCTTCGCCCGCGGTTACAGCTTTCGCAAACGTTTTAATTTCTTTAATTTTAAACAAAAAGTGGAAGTTTTCAGAAACACATACACATACATTTATAAAACATTTATACCGCCTGAATTTTGATTCTTTTTATGCTCTTTACTCTTGATTTTAAAGAATTTTTACTTCACTCATTTATCCTGTTACGTCTTGGAATTATTTAATTTCTTAAATTCATATATAAATTATTCAACTGTATTTTAATCAGCATTTTATTTCCTAATTAAATGCTTATCTATTTTTTGTTTTCGTACTACTTACATACATATGTTTATTTTTTTAACCATTTTATTTGTTTTTATATATTAAATATTATTTTATATTATTTATATTCTATTATTTATTAGTTGTTTTATTTCATGCAACTGAACTAACATTTGAGGCATTTTCCCGATCACCAAACTCCCGATTAAACCCAATATTTCTCCTTCTGCTTTCCAGGTAAGAGATACTCAGAATCTCTTGCGGGCTCTCTTCTACCAGACTGGCTAGGTAAGTCGACGTTTTGTTCTATTTTGTGTATCCTTAGCTTATAGTTTCACCTATGATTTATTTTCGATTTTTATGAGAATATAATTTTTGTATTTTGCCATTTTTCGTTCCACATTTCTTATGCGTTGCAAAGCCATTTTATAATTTGTGAAAAGTCTCTTTTGATTTTGAGAATGCCAAATCCCCACCCCAGCCATCTTTCTGAGATCTACACCAGCAACACACGAAACTCTACCCATTCCTCTGCTCCCCTGATCCTCTGATCCAAGTCTCCAAGCTGTCCCGCTCTCCAAAATACCATCCAACCAACCAACCAACCAACCAACCAACAAACCAACCAACAATCCAGTCGATTTGAATTAAATCGAACCGAGCTTCTTTGAATTTTGTGTTGATTTTTGCGTTTGGTTGTTGTTGCTGCTGTTGATGTTGCCACATCATCATCACCATCATCATCATGATCATCATTTGTCTTCGTTTTGTGTCAGTCAAGGAAGCGCCTCCGCCCCTGCAAGAGTTCGAGAGGTAAAGCCAATTCAAATTCCAATAAATCTTTGTAAGTTTGTGTTGTGTGCATAAATACTCCCCCATACTCGTAAATACCTCCCAATATACTCTTAGAACCTACTCAATGTACATACATACATACATATCAATGTTTCTGTGAGCGTTCAGCATGTGCATGCCCCCCAATAGTCCCTGCCCTGCCTAGGCGCTGGCCAAATAAACTAAAGCATTCTGTTCCTGTACATACCAACATACATATATTCGTACTCCTACTTCTACTCGTACTCGTAATATGTGAAATTATCAGCTCGTAAAATTTGCCCAAAATAATTGCCAATTATTCAGTTTGTCAACTCGGAGCGAACACACACACACATGCTAGTATAACACCAGACACACAAACACACACACATACCAGAAAATACACACGATTCCAGTGAAAGGCTTTCTTCGGGGCACAATTAAAAAGCGAGCCAGCCAGCCACCCACCCACCGCACCACCCAGCGCGGAGAAAAAGCCCGGGAAAAGTATCACTTGGCACGCAAAGAAAATCAGCGAGAAAATTGGTGATGCCCGCCTGCGAATTTCACAAAGCGTATCATTTTGTTAGCAATTTTTCAGCATGTTGCACTTGACAGGAATCGCCCCGGGGCACGCCAGTCCGTCCATATGCCACTGCAGCAGAGCGGCAGCTAGGCAGCTCGGCATTACAGTAGTGCCTCCCGACACACGACCAATTAAACACACATTTAATTTACTTTTGTTTGCCATGCCCGCTTAGGCACTTGAATTGTTGTTAATTCCTGTTTTTAGTTATGTTAACCAAACACTCGACTGCCAGGAGTGTCAGACACCAAGGGGCAGATACAAAGAGCCAATGGGTACACATACATACATATGTATATGCAATCTCTGCAGTTTCCTATATGTTTATTGGCAATTTATACAATCGTATAAATTACCAGTACAAACATAAACAAAACTTCCTTCCACCGAATGCCATTTTCCAATCGTAATCAATTCTTGTGCGTTGCCTGTGTATGTGTCTATAAAAAAGGGACCAGGGAGAGGGCTACGAACTAAAGAGTCCTGTCGCCGACAGTGACAGTCGTCGAGCCAGCTCCAAGGCAGTATCCGTATCCGTATCCTCCTGCCCCCCGAAAGTGCTGTACGCATAAATATTTATCTGAAATGTGGAATGTGGAAATCTTCAACTGCAGAAAACGTAAAATCCATTAGAAAATTAATAAAGTCTATGGAGGGAAATGTATTCCTATGAATGCGGTTTCCATTCTCCCCTTCCAATCTCTGTTTCCCGTCCCCCCCACCCCATTGGCTCATTTTTTGTCATGTACACAAATTTGTGGCTGTTTTTTGAGGGGCAAATGTATATAATGCCGACGCTAATAGAATGAAATAATCCCATTGATTATAATAATGTTTCTTTGTCTGTAGTGCTTCGCTTGTGGGAGGCGTTTTAGCAGTTGTTGTTGCTGTTGCTGGGCTCTTAAGGATAATCCATTAGTCGGTCCCAGATGTTGCATGGGATGGGAGGGACATGGATGTTTTTCAAATGTCAACAGAAATAAGTAGAAATAGCTATTGAGTGGCTTCTAATTGTTTCGAATGAGATATGTATTTATTCCAGTCATATTTTTCTTATTATTCTTAGATTTTGATGTATTTGATATCATATTATATCGCTCTGTAAATACTATATGCTCTTTATGTGAGGCATAATCGTAGTTACATATATTTTTAATTTTTAAGCTCAGTAATTAGTATAAATATACACATACATATATGTAATACTGTCTTTCGGGGCTATAAAATTACGAGTTATTTTGTTAAAGATAATTATCCACTCTACTGAATAACATAACTTGTTCACACGATATTTACATGGCATACGTACATACATATGTATGTATGTATGTATACATATACAAATGCATGTAAATTCTCCCCTTTGGCTGGCACTTTGATCGCTCTGTTTGCCAGATGTTTGCACACTCTTCGGTGGAGTTCTCTTCATTATCATGCGGATTGGGTCTATTTATAAGTGGAAGAGCTTGAATGGAGCGAATGTCTCGACGAGATCGCCGCGACGGCGCCCCCGTCCCTGCTCTCCCCTCTACCCATCAGCCCCACTCTCCCACACAGACAGAGAGAGAGACAGACGGATAGCGAATGGCACGCCATTCACAAGACTCGTAATAACATAATAATGTGCAATAAAGTATCTTAATTTGTTGAATTGTTGATAAACTTTGGCGCCACTTTGCAGATAAACATGAAACAAAGCAATTGGAGAGCCGTTCCATTTGGTAGAATTACCATTCGGTAATTGTGAATGGGCATTGGCCCACATTTTCGATATATCCGGAATACTTGTGGAACTGCTCTCCTCTCCTTTGTTTCACCTGACAATCGCCAACTTTTCCTTACCTTTCCCTACCTTTCCGGTATTTCTCTTCCAACTTTATTCCATGGAAATTATCAGTTTTCTTGACTTTCGACACGAGCAGGTGACCCAGGGCCAATGGCCAATGGCACGCAGACAGGAACAAATTCCAACTGCAACAAGTTGAATTATCTGCAAGTATCCGCACTCGAACACCCACGCGTATTCACATGTGTGTGCGTGTGTCCCTATCTGGTCGTTGTCCGTGTCCGTTTAATTTCCCCTTCGGGAGGGACTCTGCAAATTAGTTAATTGGCGGACAGTTCACTTTGAACTGCTCTCGCTGGCTGCAACTTACTTGCCCCGTATCTCTGAGAGGCAAAGATTACCCACTCCCACTCCCACGCCTCATCATATCATACCCTTCCCTCAGTAGAGCATTCTGGATTCCCCATTGACCATAAATAATGATTATTTAATATTAATAACTTATTCATTCAATGTCGCTGAACTTCGCAGTTTGATTGATGGCCAACGAATTCGAAAAACAATTTTAATAAGTAAACAACTTGGCATCTACCGAAATGTGAACACAGCAATGAATGTTCCTCTTCCATTCTGCCGCTCTGCCACTCCATTCGCACGCAATTAAAACACTCGCCCTGCCACTGCCACTGACTCCGGCTCCGGCTCAGGCTCTGCCAGGTGAACGGGAAACAGGCTTATCCGGGGGCTGGATAGCCTTTATTGATTTTTGTAGGCCATTAGATTTTGCACAGTTACCCATATTTTCCGCCATTTGCCAGGGCGGCTGGGAGATCCACTCCCCCTTGAAAGGACCCACACCCACACCCCCACCCACTCTCATCTGCCATCTCCCATCTCCCCATTGCCGAAAGCAATGTGGCAGATACTTTGCTTCTTCTTTTGCCAGCTCAGCAGATGAATGCGTATAATTTTCGGTTTGATTTATGGCCACTGACCCCGCTCCGGGCCACCTTAAGCGCACACATGGCCGGAGCGGAGCCACCCGCGCGCCCGGTGGCTGCCAACCTCAGATTTGTAACGGCTTCTGGATGGGCGGAGGGGGAGGACGATCCTGATGCTGGCTTGTCCTTTTATCGCTCCGAATGCTAAACGCAGGCAATCCATTTCCCCGCTCCTTGACTCCCATTTCCCACTCGCCTCTGCCGTTGGCTGTGGCTCTGCTCTGGATTTGGGGCGGGCTTTATTACATTAGGCGTTCGTAAAATAAAAATTGTGCCACTTTCTCAAAAACACGCACACAACAACAACTGCCGCAGCACAATAAGTGGGTGTGTGTGTGTGTGTGTATGCCTCTTCCTGCCCCGGACATCAACCTGCTGCGGCAAACTGCCGGAAAAAGGGAGCCCAAATGTGCTTGGCTGTACGCTTTTGTTGTGAGCGAGTCCTTGCCGCTTTTGCTTACATAATCAGTCATGTTATCCTTGTTTCGCACGGCATACACCCGCACACTGACACAGTGCCATACACACATATGTACGTATGTATAAACAGGGAGACAGAGCCATAGGCATAGAAAAAATTATTTATTTATGTCGCTGCCCTCATGCAGAAATATCTCTTTTATATTTCCATTGCGTGCGGGCTCGGGCTCCGAGGGTGCAAAGAGAGTGTGCCTGGGTTAAAAATCGGTTATCAAATGGGGAAAAAACTGGAAAGAACTTGTCTAGGAATGTGTCAGCATGCATACATGTTGAATTGCTTTCGAATCGCTCCTCAAATAAAACCAATACCGACCATCAAACTCGATTTTAGTTTCGCTTCATAGATGGTGAAATATGATCCATTCGCATTTAAGTAAGTCACCCTTGGAGCCTTCCTTCCATTCAAGGGATGGCAGCCATAACTACTGCATAGCCATCTCCCTCTAGCACATCGGAAACTATATGTCCTATGGGGTTGAACACTAGAAGAGGTCTATGGCACAGATTCCTGAGAAGATTTCTATGCAGAGTTATTTTCAAATTGATTCCATTTGGAAAAGCCATTACCAAAAGTAAAACTGATGGCTTAAAAGTTTAAACCGAGAGTATTCGAGTATCC